ACATTTTCAGCTGTGATTTGAAAATATTAAATGGAAAATTAATGAGACAATGCATAAATTTTAAGTTGCTTGCTTCTTTATATAGCATGATTAAGTTGTGCATTGTCTTGTTCTATCCTTGCTGGGTATCTTTTTGTCCCATATAGCCATGCCGTACACATTGCCTGCTTGTGTATTATTTAGTAGCTATCTTGGTTATCTGATCAATTGTTGCAGTATCACAGTGACGTTCATTTTGCTTGATAAAGCCTCCAAAGCACAAGAGTAATGATGGGAAGGAGGCACCAGGACGTAGAATATAGAAGTACAGCATAGGAGCTATATTATGGCATGATGGGTTTGGCCGCTGCCTGTGACACCAGTTATGAGTGCCAGTTCTAGTCCCAGCTGCTCTGCTTGCAATTTAGCTCCCTGCTGATGCTGCACCTTGGAAGGTAGCAGAGGATGGTACAAGTATTGGGCTCCTGCCACCCAAGTGGGAGACCTGGATGGAGTTCCAGCCTCCAGGCTTCTGCCTGGCCCAGAACTGTTCATCTGTTCAGTTAACATGTATAACTTCTACCGTTTTGGAATCTATAATGTATTTCTTCAGATATGTCTTTATTAGTTCCTAATTTATCATGGTATCTTTCGGTTTTTCTAGCATAGTACATGATTAGAGTTTACATTCATGTATTTGTTTTATTGTTTGCCTTCCTAATTACATTTTAAATTCCAGGACAGCAGCAATCTTACCTGTCTTTTCCCTACTTTATTCCCTGCTCCTACTACAGTGCCTGATTCTTAGTAATTACTCACAATATATTTGTTTGGTAGATATGGATGGATGAATGAACGAGTGAGTGAATCCATATGTCATTGCCATTTCCATATCATTCTGTATCTTTATTTCTATTCTCTTTTCCTCGGTTTTAAAGATTTATTTATTTATTTGAAAGGGAGAATTACAGACAGAGGTGGAGAGGCAGAGAGAGAGAGAGAGAGAGAGATCGATCATCCATCTGCTGATTCACCCCCTAAAAGGCCACAACAGCCAGGGCTGAGCCAGGAGGAAGCCAGGAGCCAGGAGCTTCATCTGGTCTCTTGTGAGGGTGCAAGGGCCCAAGGATTTGGGTCATCTTTTGCTGCTTTTCCTAGGCTTATTAGCGGGGAGCTGGATTGCTCCTCTTCCAGTCCAGCTCTCTGTTGTGGAAGAGGAGCAACTGGGACTAGTACCCGGTGCCCCAACCGGGACTATAACCCGGGGTGCCGGCAAACCCGGGGTGCCGGCACCGCAGGCGGAGGATTAGCCAAGTGAGCCACGGCGCCAGCCAATAAATCTTTCAAAAAAAAAAAAAAAGAGAGAGAACAGGGGCTAGCACTGTGGTCTAAAGGGAAGGCAGCGGAGGATGGTCCCAGTGCTTGGGCCCTGCACCTGCATGGGAGACCAGAAGGAAGCTCCCGGCTCCTGGCTTCGGATCGGCCATTAGGGGAATGAACCAATGGAAGGAAGACCTTTCTGTCTGTCTCTCTCACACTGTCTATAACTCTTTCTCTGTCTCTCTCTCTCTCTCACTGTGTAACTCTGCCTGTCAAAAAAAATTTTTTTTAATTTTTTTATTTGAAAGGCAGAATTACAGAAAGGGAGAGGCAGAGGCAGAGAGAGGTCTTCCGTCTGCTGGTTCTCTCCTCACGTGGCTGCAATGGCCAGGCCGAAGCCAGGAACCAAGAGCTTCATCTGGTTCTACCACATGGGTGCAGTGACCCCAGCACTTGGGTCATCTTCTACTGCTTTCCCAGGTGCGTTAGCATGGAGCTGGATTGGAAGTGGAGCATCCAGGACTTGAACCAGCACTTGTATGGAATGCCAGTACTGTAGTTAGTGACTTAACTTCTTGTGCCACAGCATCAGCCCTGTTATATTTCTACTCTGTATCCTGAACGAATAAGTTTATTTTCTTCAAACTTGTGTGTTATCGGATTTAGTTCTGTATATTCCAGTGAATGTCACATTACTTTGGATTATAATAGTATATGATTTGGAAAAGATGTAAAAAGAGTGAAGTTGAATAAAAGCATATACAAATACTTTAAGGGGCATTATTTGCCTTGTGAAGAACTATATAGGGGTCTAAGTAAACTGTTGATGCTCTGTAAATTATACCTGAGGTACAAGGTAGTTATGGGAAATTAGTTGTCTTCATTTCCAAAACTGTATTTCCAAGGTTAAGTCCTTCTGCCTTAAAATGAGAGGAAAGGGCTGGCTTTGTGATGTAATAGTTTAAGCTTCTGCCTGTAGTGCCTGCATTCCATATGGGCACCTGTTCTAGTCCTGGCTGTTTCACATCCCATCCAGCTCCCTTCTCATGGCCTGGGAAAGTAATAGAAGATGGCCCAAGTGCCTAGGGCCCCTGCATGCATATGGGAGACCTTGAAGAAGCTCCTGGCTCCTGTATTTGGATCAACCCAGCTCTGGCTGTTGTGGCCACTTGGGTCTCTTTTCTTTTATTTATTTATTTATTTATTTATTCATTTATTTATTTTGACAGGCAGAGTGGACAGTGAGAGAGAGAGACAGAGAGAAAGGTCTTCCTTTGCTGTTGGTTTACCCTTCAGTGGCTGCTGCGGCCGGCGCATAGCGCTGATCCAATGGCAGGAGCCAGGTACTTATCCTGGTCTCCTATGGGGTGCAGGGCCCAAGCACTTGGGCCATCCTCCACTGCACTCCTGGGCCACAGCAGAGAGCTGGCCTGGAAGAGGGGCAACTGGGACAGAATCCGGCGCCCCAACCGGGACTAGAACCCGGTGTGCCGGAGCCGCAAGGCGGAGGATTAGCCTAGTAAGCCGAGGCGCCGGCCCACTTGGGTCTCTCTTCCTCTCTGTAACCCTGCCTTTGAAATAAATAAGTCTTTTTTTTTTTAAAAAAAGAATGTCTATAAAAAAGGCAGATTTACAGATCAGGGGGGTGGGAGGGAGGAAGACTCTTCCATCTGCTGTTTCACTTCCCGAATTGCTGCAAATGCCAGTGCTGGGCCAGACTGAGAACAGTAGTCCTGAATTCCTTCCTGGTCTGCTATGTGGGTAGCAGGGGCTCAGATATTTGGGTGATGTGCTGCTGCTTTCCCAAGTGCATTTGTAGAGAGCTGAATTGGTTGTGGAGCAGCCTGGATTCTAATTAGCTTCACTATATGGGGTGACATCATTATAAGCAGTGGCTTAACCCACTGTCCCACAACACTAGCCCCCAATTTCTTGTTTCTCTAGCTCTTCATCTGAATCTTTCTTTGATTAGTTCTGTACTTTATATAATGTACTTGTTAGGGTACCTTGTATTTCTCTCCTGTATCTTCATAGCTAAGCTCACTTAAGCTGAGACCCTAAGTTCTTTAAAGGTAGAATTCTTTTCTATTGTTTTGTTATCTGCAGTGCTGTTTTAATAATATAAAAATTACTAAATATTTGTTGAATGAGCTATATTGTAAGCAGATTTTATGTGTTTTTTATTTAGCTGTATGCCTTTCCTTTGGCATGTTCAGTTTATAAATATTTACTTCATTAATATGCTGTCTCTTTCCTGTCCTTCACAGTGAAACTTCTTAAGAGTTGTCTTGCCAAGTTTTATTGCCACATTTGGTGACTCTTTTTTTTTTTTGGTGGCCTTATCTTAAATGACCAGTAGAGTTGTTTGACCTTTTCCTTTGAAATTCTTTTAGTGATTTCTAGGATTTCTGTTACTTAGTTTACTATGTTACCCTTTGTGGCCTGTTTTTCTTTGTGCTTTAAATGGTAGTATTTTCTAGGGTCCTGTCTTTAGTCCTGTTCTCTTGATCATGCTGAGAACTTTCCCTTGGTGATCTCATTTTTGTTCCTGGCTTTGCCCAATGTCCGTATCAGAAGTTGTAAATTAAATGCTTATAGGGGTCCGGTAGGTAACATAAATCAACAAAGAGGTGAGTGTCATAGTGAAGAGCAGTGGGAACTGTGGCCGATTAAAGCATCTATGTCCTGTTCAAAGCTCCAGACAGAATATTGCTATTTCAGAATATGGTATCCAATGTTGGCAGATTTTCAGTTTTTCAAAAAAAATTAGGAATCTAGATTTTTAAATCTGAAATTTCCAAATTTATAAATAGGAGCAGCCTGTTAAAATTTGCAGCCACTGTACAGGCAATGGCAATTCATTTTAGTCTTGTTAGTTTACTTACTGTGCTTCTAACTCTGAGAGTGTTTCGACGTCTGATTTTTGTGCTGAGCTTCCAGCTTATTCTATTGACTGTAGGAATTCCATGTCTTTCAGATGTCTCAAAGCCCCTGATGATCATCTAGAACCTCATACTCATATTAGGAAGTGGTTTCAGTTATAAAATAAGACAGCTATAGCTTTGCATCCCAAATTTCTTTAAACTTCTGCTTGTTCATGCATTCAAATAGGAGCAATATTAACCTCACTGAGCTAATTTGGTAGCACACCTGTACACAGCAACAAATAGCTGACTGCTCTTAGATGCTACTGCTGATTTATTGAAGGGTATCACCACTCTCATTTACTGGTGATAAAGAGTACTTTTTTACTCTTCTCCTCATTTTTATTTTTCAGATATAATTAGTCAATGAAGTGCTATGAATTTTTCCTTTATTATGTCTCATTACTACTGTTCTTTAGTTTAATCCCTTTTTGTGCTGGTCAATATGATTGCAGCAGCACCTTAATATCTTTTCAACCTACGTCTGTGATTGACGTCTTTCATAAACACCAATCTGGTCATGCCAGATTTCTTGTAATTTTTCAGTGACTCCCCCAATTTTCTCTAGGCTTTTTAAAGATTTATTTATTTGAGAGGCAGAGTTACAGACAGAGAAAGGGAGTGAGAGAGAGAGAGAATCTTCCATCTACTGTGTCACTCAAATGGCTGTAGTAGCTGGAGCTGGGCCAATCCGAAGCCAGTAACCAGGAGCTTCCTCTGGGTCTCCCAGGTGGGTACAGAGGCCCAAGATTTGGGTATCTTTTACTGCTTTCCCAGGCCATCAGCAGGGAGCCGGATGGGAAGTGGAGCAGCCGGGACTTGAACCAGCACCTATATGGGATGCTGGTGCCACAGGCGGAGGCTTAACCTACTACGCCACAGCACCGGCCGCTTCTCTAGGTTTGTAACATTTTAAATTTTAATGTTCTTCTTGATTCTGGTCCTTGCTTGCTTATCTTCTCTCTCATTTATGGATGGAAGGCCTAGACTTTGTAAGCTCTGATACTCATTATATGATGTGTTCCCAAACTAACTTTTACTTCTGTGTTTCCTTTAGAAGTTAGATTTTGGGACCGGCACTGTGGTACAGTGGGTTAAACCATGGCCTCCAATGCCTGCATCCCACAAAGACTCTGGTTCAAGTCCCAGCTGTTCCACTTCTGATCCAGCTCCCTGCTAATGCTTTCCCAAGTGGGAAAGCAGCTGAGGATGGCCCACGTCCTTGGGTCCCTGTAACCACATGGGAGACCTGGAAGAAATGGGGCTCCTAGCTTCGATCTGGCCCATCCCTAGTCATTGCTGCCATTTGGGGATTGAACTGGCTGATGGAAGATCTCTCTGTTCGTTTTCTCTCTCTCTCTCTCTGTCTCTGTCTCTGTCTCTGTCTCTCTCAAATAAATAAACCCTAAAAAAAGAAAGAAGTTAACTTTCCAGGCACCAACTCTTTAAGTAAGTTTCTTTGACTTTCACTCTGCCTCACTTGAAGTCTGGGTCAGATACCCCCTTTTCTGCACTTAACAGCCCCAAAGGCTATCTTGCCAATAGTATTCATCACAGATTTTTCTAATTATCTGATTTCCACTAAGCTTCTTAAAGGCAGAGACCTCACAGGGCTTAGAATAATGTCTGGAAAACAGTGAGTTCTCAGATGTGTGTATAATGACTGCACTTGCTGTATGAGAAATCATCTTTTTATCTGGAGAAATTATAGAAAAGTTCTAGAAGCCTCAGTTATAGTTGTAAGGCTTTTAAAAATGTCTCATTTCTTCTGTTTCCTTCCAGAAGATTGTAGGTACTTTTATTAATTATGATTCAACCATGTTTTTAGAATAAATCGAACTATTGATATAAATTACTAATTATTGTTGCCTTTTTGTGCTATTGTTCTCTAAACTTTTTAAAAAAATTGTATCATAGCTCACTTAGGTTCACTTTTTTTGCTTTTCGCCTGTTAAAATACCAAGTTCTCATGATCTTCCTTCTCACTCTCCCATGAGCCTGATAATTATTCTTTTTTGTAGAGATCATTCTGTGCATTGTAAGATGTGCAACAGCATCCCTCTCTTCTACCCACTGGATGCCAGTGGCACTCCCCAGTTTTGTCAAGTGAAAACACAGCTAGGCATTGTCAAAATTGCCGTCTGGGGCAAAATCACTCCTGATTGCAAACTGTTGGTTTTTAAATACTCTCATCTCTTTTCCTTTTCCCTCAAAGAGTCTCTCCTTCTCCATGTTTTTTTTTTTGTTGTTGTTGTTATTAGTGTATTGTCATGATTTCCCAATTTTTGAAACCTAAGGTAACTTTATTTTCTTCCTAGTAACTCTAAGTTTCCTCATGCTCATTTTTTCTCCTCCTCTTCCTGTTCTCTTTTCTTGAATGAAAAGTTTCTACTTCCTTATTTTTCCCTTCTGGCTTTGCCATAGTGCTACTGAAAACCTTTTCATTAAGTGTTCTTCTTTTTATGATCTATTATTTATTGAAAGGCAGAATTAAAGAGAGCAAGAGACAGATCTTCCATCCGCTGATTCGCTCCCCAGATGGCTGCATCAGCCAGAGCTGGGCCAGACTGAAGCCAGGAGCCAGGAGCTTCTTCCCATGTGGGTATGATGGCCCAAGCACTTGTGTTCCTAGGCTCAATAGCAGTGAGCTGATTGAAAGTAGAGCAGCTAGGATTAGCACTGAACACCCATATGGGATGCAGGCACTGTAGGCAGAGGTTTAATGGACTGTGACACAGCTCTAGCCTCAGAGTGTTCCATTTTCTGTGTTCTTGGAAGTGCATGATACCACCATCTAGTCGTCCAAATCATTGTCGTGATTTAGTTCTCCCTCTTCCCTTCAGCTTCACCCCTTCTGATATGCACAATACAGTCAGTTTCAAAATCTGGTTTATTCTCTTTCCTAAATCTCTCTAGAATCCAACTGCATGTATTCCTACAGCTGGGTCCCACCAATTTCTTGAGCCTCTTTCTTACCTCTGAATTTGAAGTCTAGTCCTATTCCATTTTTATTTCCTTTTCTGTATTGTGGTCTGTGTAGAATAAGATCTCTTTGCATTTTAGACATCCTTAATCATGTGTTTGAATTTGCATATTCAAACACTTACAGATGATTTTTATGCAGCTCTAATTGCTTCATTCTCCTATTTAGGAAACCTTTCATTACTCTTAGGAACTCCTAAAACCGTTGATATATTTTTTTTTTACAAAGCCCTTCCTGATGTGGTCCCTACTAACAAAAGCATTTTTGCCAAATAAAAAATGATTTAGGTTCTTTCAGACAGTGTTTTATGAAAAGTTAGTGTTTATTCATTCAGTTACTCTGGTACTTTTTTTTTCCCCCTGCAAAGCAATATAATTTATAATTGTAGGAAGGATCAGTAAGAAGTGTTATGTATTCTGTTATTGCTTAATATTGTGTATTTGACAAATTTAATTGTCAAGTTATATTTAAATAAAATTTCTTTTCTTGCAGGTATTTACAACAGCAATGATGTAGCAGTATCGTTTCCAAATGCAGTGTCTGGCTCAGGATCTAGTACTCCTGTTTCCAGTTCTCATGTACCTCAGCAGTCTGCTGGGCATCTGCAGCAAGTGGGAGCTCTGTCTCCCTCAGCTGCCTCGTCTGCAACCCCTGCTGTTGCCACAACTCAGGTAAATTACTGTGATGCTACAAAGTGACATCTAGATGAGTTGATAATATTTAAGAACCATTGTGATTAGACTAAAGACACATAAAAAGGGACTTTGTAGGAATTTTTTAAATACTTCAATGTATATTAACTTGTTAGTAGAAATAATAGTCATTTTGTATTATAATCATAAGAAAGGACAATTGGGACTGTGTGTACCAGCTGATTGTTTGCAATACTTGGGTTGCTAATTTTATCCTTATGAGGTAAAATTGTGCTTTCAGGGGAGCTGTTATTCTTTTATTGAAAAAGAAGTTGGACTTAAAGTATGAATCAATTTTGGATGTTTGTGGTTTATTAAAATGCCTTTTGTAACTTTTAGTATCATACAGTATTCATAAAATATTGTCAGTAGTGGTGAAAATGTTATTTCTCTCATTTGTTCACCCCTTTTGTCTCAACTTCAGATCAAAATAGTATGTAGGATTTTTTTTTTTCCAAAGATTTTACTTCTTGGGGCTGTTGCTGTGGCATAGCGTGTAAAGCCTGCTGCCTGTGGTGCTGACATCCCATATGGGCACCGGTTCATGTTGCAGCTGCTCCACTCTGATCTAGCTCTCTGCTGTGGCCTGGGGAAACAACAGAAAGTGGCCCAAGTGTTTGGGCCCCTGCATCCGTGTAGGAGACCCCAAAGAGGCTCCTGGTTCCTGGCTTCGGATAGGTGCAGCTCCACCCATTGCAGCCATTTGGGGAGTGAACCAGTGGATGGAAGACCTCTCTCTCTCTCTCTGCCTCTGTCTCTCTGTAACTTTGCCTTTCAAATAAATAAATAAATCTTTTTTTTTTTTTTAAAAGATTTACTTGTTTATTTGAAAGGGAGGAGAGAGAGAGAGAGAGAAATGGAGAGAGAGAGAGAAAGACAGAGAGAGGAAGAGATCTTCCATCCGCTAGTTCACTCTCTGTATGGCAACAACAGTCAGGTCTGGGTCAGGCTTAAGCCAGGACCCAGGACTCCATCCTGGTCTCCTACATGGGTGGCAGGGATTCAAGTACTTGGGCCACCTTCTGTTACTTTTCCAGTTGCATTAAGGAAGCTGGATCAGAAGTGGGGTAATTGGAACTCAAACCAGCACTCACAAGTGGGATGGTTATCAAAAGCAGTGGCTTAACTGCCGCAGCACAGTTTTGGTCTCAACAAAAGTAATTTTATTAACAAGAATCAAGTATGAAAAATCATAATTTTAAATTTTCCAAGCAGGACAGTAATGGGCAATGCTGCATACACATATACTCACTTCATTCCACCCACTTCCCTAAAGGCAATAATTTAAGTTTCCTAAAGTATGTAGTTTTCAAATTATTTGAAATTCTTTGTAATTTTACTTTCATTTCTCCTAAGCTCTACAAAATAAGTCTTTTAATGTTTCCAGGAAATTGTGACAAGTGTCCAATTATAAACAACTGATTAAGTAGTTCTGTTAGTTGTTGTAAACTCGAGTTTTATGTATATGTGTGAAATTTCTACTGTACAGACCTTTAGAATACACCCATGCATACAGTTTTTCAGTATTTTCTGTAAGCTGTGTACATCAAAGCACAGCATTAGATTATTTCTAATGCATGTGTATGAATGGTGCGGTATAAGCAATCACCATTCTAATTAAGACAGGTATTCGAATAAATAACAGACACTTCACCACAGAAAATCAATGGCATGATTAGTAGTATCATCTTTGGAGGTGAAAGTTAACTATTTAGTGAACCTCTCAACCTGACTAAGGAGAGTTTTATTACTTTTCTAGAAGAGTTTTTCTTTGGCTCCTTTTGCTAGAAAAGTAAAGTAGCCATAATAACAGAGGCTCAGGGTGGTTAGAGTGACAGGATATATGAAAGAATGGCCATTAGAAGTAGTTTTATCTCTTTTAATTAAGTATAGTTGTTGATAACTTTATAACCTTGGAAAAAATTTCACATGAGCATGTTTCAATATGCGTTTTTCTTTTCTGTCTTTAGAAAAAATCTGTTTTAATTATTCTGCTTAATTCCAGGCTGATTTAAGCCAAAATCTCATTTCTTCTTATTCATTATGTTTGTGGGTTGCATTAAGGAGGTGGATGGGGGAAGTGGTGTTGAAGAAAAATTTATAGCTAGAGGGAGAATTCCACTTAACATGTGACTCAACTGAAGAACAAAGAAATCATAGTTGCAAGTAATCCAGGATTCAGACCAATTAAAACCTTCACTGTTTATCCCTTTCCATGTTTCAGTAAGATGGGTCTCTTACAAATATGATCATCCAGTTAGATTCAAATGCTGCATGCTGAGACAACTGCATCTACATTTCTGTCTAGCAGTAAATGCTTTCTGCCTTCAAGCTGAAGCTTATTTAGCCTGGCTTATCTGGTGCTGCTGTAGCAACCATCAGTCTCCAGGCAACTGAGGCACATTGACCTCTCAGTTGAACTGAGTGCGGAACTACTTCAATTTAGCTGCCTGAGACAATAGTAATGGTACTGAATGTGAAAAATGTGAAATTTTCTAGGCAGTGTACAAGGGAAAAGATAAAAAATATTTAGATGGAATTGATAGGATTTGTAAAATTGGGATGTACTTGGCAATTGAATCTTTGTTTCAAAATGACAAAGTTTATTTAAATAGGCCCTGTTTGTCTTGAAACCATAGGATTCACTGTGTTTGAACAGTCACATCCTATCATTTTATTTAGAGAGGCTTTATAAAAGCTGATTTAGAATGAAAAGAGCTATAAAATAAGATAAATGGTAACTAAAAATTATCTGTGTTAATTCTAGAATTATTGTCCTAATTATTAAGAAAACATCACAGTAGTTAGCAAATACCTTAAAAATATTAATAGAGAACATAAATATTAAACTTGAATAATGTCACATACTCCCCCCAAAATAAACTTAAAGAAAGTAGTAATTTATAATGATTATATTGATGTTAGCAGGATAAAAAATTTCATTCCTGTTCTTTGTGCTCTTGGTTTTAAATAAGGTAGACTTCTTTTGTGGCTTATTTGCTATGTTAAGGGTTGTTTCCTGGAAAGTAAGAACAAGAACAAGAAGGGCTGAAAGAAATTACAAACTGAGAACAGTTTGATCTTTGTGCTTTTAATGGAGGGGAAAGGTAACATAAAGTGAAGTCTGATGCTTAGCAGCCAAATTTAAAATAGAAAACTTAAACCTGATAACCTTGTTTCATATTCTTAAATATTAAATCCTTTCATTTATATGTGACAAGTCTGTATAAAATTCTGTTGAATAATGGAATTATTTTTTGGTTAGTATCATGGACATGTCCCACGAACTTTTAGAAGTCTCCTTAACTGTAAATGTTTTTAGTGTAATTGTTCTTTCACCAATAATTACTTTATAGAAACCTCACTTTACTATATACTAGTATTTCAGTAATATAATCATAGTTTGTTAGTAGTGTTGATAGCTAGAACTCCTGTCTGTGTGATTGTTGTTGGATTGTAAGATCATTAATAGGGATATAAATCAGTTTCTCTAGAAATGTCATAATTTTTTATTTTTGCCTTTCAAATCTCACTATTCCTCCAGTTCTGTACTCATTCTGTTCTGTCTTTGGGAATATACAAATGTTTTTGTTTTAAGGATGATTTCTTTCATACAATAATCTAAGATTGAATGTAATGAAAAAGAATTGTGTTCTATAATTTTTCATTTCAGTTAGTTTTGGATTCAGTTTTCATGTCAGTAATTGTGGTTTCTTCTTTCTACCCCAAGTTACTATTTTAAGAAATGATATTGGTTTAAAATTAATTTACATAAACTTACAAGATTGATATATACAGTATTTAGTAAATGCAGAATTCAGCATGTTAAGATATAGTTTAGTGACTGGGATCTTACAGGTTTCTGTTATACTTTAATTCTGTCACCTTTGAAAATTGTGTGTGCTTGTGCGTATGTGTGGCAGTGAGTCTTTGATTTCTTCTCAGGTGATGACTAATAATGACCATTTTCATACTATTTGAGAAAATGATTCAGTTTTCCAGACAGATCCAACCAAGTTTGGGGGATATTTGTATTTATATTTGATTAGTCAGATGAAACTTTCATCTGTTTTAACTAGTTTCATAATGGATTATATTTGTAACAAAATTATTTTTCTGGGCAAAATACTCTTAATTTTTTATAAGAATTTGTAATACTGCTATAAGATGATGAAAAGATTAAGTATTGGTGCAAAGTAACATATCTGGTAAGTGTTAGAACAGAGTTTGGAATCAATTTCTTTTTTTTTTTTTTTTTGACAGGCAGAGTGGACAGTGAGAGAGAGAGAGACAGAGAGAAAGATCTTCCTTTGCTGTTGGTTCACCCTCCAATGGCCGGCGCGGCCGGCGCGCTGCAGCCGGCGCACCGCGCTGATCCAGTGGCAGGAGCCAGGTACTTATCCTGGTCTCCCATGGGGTGCAGGGCCCAAGCACTTGGGCCATCCTCCTCTGCACTCCCTGGCCACAGCAGAGAGCTGGCCTGGAAGAGGGGCAACCGGGACAGAATCTAGCGCCCTGACCGGGACTAGAACCCGGTGTGCCGGCGCCGCAAGGCGGAGGATTAACCTAGTGACCTGCGGCGCCGGCCTGGAATCAATTTCTTAATCTGCCCTCTAATCACTAATTAATTACTCTAAAAATGATCTTCCCACTGTGTGCCTCTCCTGGTAAGAGGCATTACTTTGAAAACCACTGTTAGAGTTCTGTGTCTATTTTGATGACGCAATACACAATAGACATTTTGTGTCATAGAGTTCCTGAATTACAGAAGCTTTGCTACTCACTACTGTTACCTTGAATTGTTTTTTTTTTTTGTTAGCCTCATATCTAAAGTTCGAATGCCTTTAAGTACCTGTCCTACCTTCATTACAGTTATGTGATAAATACATAAAATTAATGAATTAATTTCAACTCTTACAGAAACAGCTTGATTACCAGCGAGGGAATAAATTGTATAGAAACATTTTCTTTCTCAAAAA